AATCTTTTATCCTACCAATATGTAAATCTTTCAAAAGTTCCAGTAGTTTCCTTGCTGAGTCTCTTGTGTTTTCCGTGTATAGGATATCATCTGCAAATAGGGATAGGTTTACTTCTTCCTTCACTATTTGGATACCTTTTATTTCCCTTTCTTGTCTTATTGCCCTGGCTAGGACTTCCAACACAATTTTTGAATAAAGGGGAGCTAGAGGGCATACTTATCTCATTCCTATTTGCAAGAGAAATGGTTTCAGTCTCTCTCCCTTGAGAATAATGTTGTTGTTATTATGTGCCGTCCAGACAGACCTAGCTCATAGGGACCTGTCCTTGGGTTTCCAAGGTGGTATTACTATGGAAGTAGATTGCCAATCTTCCTTCCAAGGAGAGGCTGGTGGGTTTGAACCACCAGACTTCTGGTTATCAGTCAAGTGTCTTAGGCACTATGCTACCAGAGCTTGAAAATAATGTTAGCTGTTGTATTTGCAAATATGCCTTTATTATGTTGAGGAATTTCCCTTCTTTCCCTATTTTTCTGAGAGTTTTTATGAGGAATGGGTACTGGATTTTATCAAATGTCTTTTTTGGATCTATTGTTATGATCATGTGATTCTTTTCCTTTATTTTACTTATGTGATGGACTACAATGCTTGTTTTTTCTAAAGCTGAACCATCCTTGCATACCTGGTATCAATCCCACTTGGTCATGATGTATTATTTTTTGGTATGTTGTTGGAGTCTATTGGCTAGCATTCTGTTGAATAATTTTGCATCTATCCTCATGAGGAATATTGGTCTGTAGTTTTCTTTTCTAGTGCATTGCTTGCCTGGTTTGGTTTCAGGTTTATGCTTCCTTCATAAAATGAAATTTGAGATGATATCATAATTTTCTCTGTTCTAGAATAGTTTGAGTAGGATTGGTGTCAACTCTCCTCTGAATGATTGGTAGAATTCTCCAGTGAAACCATATGGGCCAGGACCTTTTTGTGTTGGCTTTTTTTTTTGACCTGTTCAATTTCTTTGTTTTTATGTATCCTACCTTAGTCTGTGTTCGGTTAAGTTTCTAAGTTTTCAAATTTGTTGGAGTACAGTTCTTCATAATATCCTGATTTCTTTTAATTTCTGTTGGTTCTATTGTGACCTCACCCCTTTCATTACCCATGCTGTTTGCATCTTCTTTTCTTTTCTAAATGTACTAGTGGTCTGTTAATTTTATTAATCTATTCAAGGAACCAACCTCTAGTGTTGTTGATTTTTTCTATTGTCTTTCAATTTTGTTTATTTCTGCTTGAATCATTATCATTTCTTTTCTTCTGGTGACTGTGGGGTTTTTTTGGTGCTCTTTTTGTAATTGTTGAAAATGTTGGCTAAGGGTGTGGATTTTCGATCTTTCTTCTTTTGTGATGTGTGCATCTACTGCTATAAAGGGCCCTCTGATCATTGCTGTTGCTGTTTCCCAAAGATTTTGATACATTGTGTTTTCCTTCTCATTTCCTTCAAGGAAATTTTTTTATTTCATTTTTTATGTCTTCTATTACCCAGTCATTTTTAAGGAGTGCTTTAGTTAGTTTCCATGTGATTGCTCTTTTACTGTTGGTCTTTCTGCTGTTGATTTCTAATTTTCTAGCATTGTGATCTGAGGAGATGCTTTGTAGTTTTTCACTGTTTTTAAATTTGTTTTTGCTTTCTTCATGGCCTAACATATGTTCTGTGTGTGCTGGAAATGAATGTATGTTTTGCTATTGTTCGGTGAAGTGCTCTGTAGATGTCTATAACTTCAAGTTGGTTGATCATACTGTTTAGTTCTTCTGCATCTTTGCTGAGTTTCTTCCTATTTGTTCTATCTTTTATTGAAAATTTTGTATTAAAGGTTCCTACTATTACTGTAGAGTCATCTATTTGTCTTTTCAATTCTATTAAAGTCTGTTTTATGTATTTTGAGGCTCTTTCATCATGTGCATACATATTTATTACAGTTAAATCCTCTTGTTCAATTGATCCTAGTTGTGAAATAATGTCCTTCCTTGTCTCTTATGGTCATTTTTGTCTTAAAGTTTTATTTGATCAGAAATTAATATTTCCACTGCTGCTCTTTCTTGGTTGCCATTTGCTTGATATATTTTTTTACAACTTTTGTTTTTTAGTCTATTTTTGTCTTTATGTTTAAGGTGAGTCTCTTATTGGCAGCATGTAGACGTGGTTATATTTTCTTATTCAGTCTTCAACTCTCTGTCTCTGGAGTGATGCAATTGCCCCAACGGAATTCAGTTTAATTATGAATAAGTATGAGTTTATGATTTCATTGTGTTATCTTTCTTTCATGGTGTTGCAGATTTCTTTGTTCTACTTAATTTTCTGCACTGAGCTCATTTTGTTTATGAATTGTGCTATCATTTCTTTCACTGTTATTGTTTTAGTTTTTGCTAAATATTTGTGCTTGTCCTCCTTTTTATTTTTATGCAATGGTTTTTATTTTTCTTTGATGTTATCTGTGATTTATTATTTTCTTCCCAAGTTTAAAACAGTGTTCTATCTCACAGTTGTCTTGAATTCCTCACCATTTAGAAGTCCTGTAACTATACTATTTATTTCCTATTTTTGGTTTGTATTTTTGTAGTTGTCCTCATTTACCAATATATGCCTCTGGTTCCCTGTTTAGTGTCTTGTAAGCTTATTTTATTTCAGATACTTCCATAACTGGGTTGGTTTCTGGGTTATGCTATCATGTGTGCTAAAAATTGGTTGTTGTGTGCTGTTGTTGATTCTCTGTCAGAAAGACTCCCTTTAGCACTCTTTGTAAAATTGGTCTGGTTTTCACAAATTCCCTTATTTTCTGCTTGTCTGGAATCAAATTCTACCCTCTTGGTATATAATTCTTGGTTGGAGATTGCTTTCTTTCAGGATTTTATATATATCATCCCACTGTCTTCTCTCCTGCATGGTTTTTGCTGAAAAATCAGAGGTTCATCTTTTTGGTTGACTTGTATGGGTAACTTTTTCTTTTTTCCCACACTGCTTTCAGGATTCTTTCTTTGTCTTTGGGTTTGGTGAGCTTGATTATGACATGTCCTGGATTTTTTTTTTTTTTTTTTTTTTTTTTTTTTTTTTAGAGGAGGCAGTCTAACCTGTTTAGTGTTCTTTAAACTTCTTGAACATATATATTCTCTTCATTCATCATATTAGAGAAATTATCTTTTAATAAATCTTAGAAAATTTTATCTTAGGTTTAATTTGTCTCTTCCTCTTTTGCAATTCTGATTACATGTAGGTGATTCCACTTGATGGCATCCCACATGAATCTTAGGCTTTCTACATTTTGTTTTGATTTTTTGTTTGATTGATCTCTTAAAAAGTAGTATTAAGGCATTTGTCTTCAATCCCATTAATTCTATATTCAATTGATTCAATTCTACTCCTTTACCCCCTCCATGTGTTATCTATTTCTGAAATCTTAGTATAAATCTTCTGGATTTCTATATGTTGTTTTTATATCAGTTCCAATTTTTTGTTTATTTTGTCAATTTGTTCTTGTATTGTGTTCTTAAATTTTTCTAGGGTTTTCTCTGTGTTTTCTTTAATTATGTCAGTGTTTTACATGATCTTGTAAGTGTTTTCCTTGATCTATCTCTCAATCTTTTGAAGATACCCAAATGTAATTCTTTTGAATTCCTTATCAGGGAGTTCCAATGCTTCTTCTTCCCTCAGGATATTTTCTGGATTTGTATCTTAGTCCCTTGTTTCTACTACTTTCTCTTGTTCCTTTTTTGTGGACTGTGATGGTCTGTTGTGTCCAAGACATTGTGGTGGTGTTAAATTTATGTTGAAATGTTTGAAAGAGAATGACATGTGCACAGATCCCTGTTAGTTGTTTGTAAAGAGTAGTTGATGGGAAGTTGCGCTGGTTTTTGCTGCTGCCTGTCACTACTCATTTGGTGCAAAAGGAAGTTATGGACCTCACTCAGTGGATGGGGCTGCAGGAGGTATAATTATGGTTGAGTTGTGTGGGAACAGTTGCTGTCTTCCACTCAGTTAGGCAGAAAAAATCAATAAACCACCAAAACAATAAAAGCAAGAGAATTAAAAACTGAAACCAGTAAACAAACATCAATAATCACCAAAAATGACAGAAATGCAGTAAAGGAGAAGAAAAAATTATGATAATATATTTAAAAAGTATAAAAGAAAGATAATGAGAAAAAGAAGGACAATTTGGGAAGGACAAATGAAAGATAAGAGCAAGAGTAAAAAAATGAGTAAATAAAAAAAATGGGAAAACTG